CGGCCCCTCCCCATCCCGGCCGGCCGCCACCGCCTCACCGCTGCCTTCCCCGCAGACCGAGATCATGCGGAACGAGTTCGAGCGCCTGGCGGCCCGGCAGCCTCTGGAGCTGCTCAGCATGAAGAGGTGAGCTGAGCCGCCCCCTAGCTGAGCCGCGAGGAGCACCGGCGGATGCCTGGTGTCCGCCGCGGCTGCTCCTGAAGCGGGCGGGTGCCGTGTTCCAGGTACGAACTGCCGGCCCCGTCTTCCGGCCAGAAGAACGATATCACGGCGTGGCAGGAGTGTGTGAACAACTCCATGGCGCAGCTGGAGCACCAGGCAGTCCGTATCGAGAACCTGGAATTAATGTCGCAACACGGCTGTAATGCTTGGAAGGTGTACAACGAGTAAGGCCTTCGTCTGCTTTGCTGAACCTGGTTGAAGTTCTGTCGTTGGTTTCTGAATATTTGTCGTGCTTTCCTGTGTAAGGCCGGGGGGATCTTTAGAACCTATCCTGGAGTAACTCAGCATTTTTGAGAGAGCTATATGTGGAAAAAAAGGAAACTGGCCTGAAAGAGAATGAACCGTCTCTGTGGCCAAGAAATAGCCTGTGCTTCAATACATACCAATCTTGAATTTTTTTGAGTTTTTGTTTGTGTAGCAGTTGGTGATAATGCGCTTTAATGGGGGATAACTAAAGAGACTAACAAAAGCCTGCAAAACGGTAATTCAGTAATGGAAACAACGATGACTTGCCACTGATCCTGCTCAGCCAGGAGCCATTATTAATAAAGCTGTTTCAAAAGCCAAAAGTTGTTGACAATATGGCTGCAGGAAGCAGCTATTTCAGGCAGAGAATATTAACATCTGCCTTGGAGAAGGGTTAGCTTAGTCTTAGATTAAGGTGTAGAGAAAAGCAATATGAAACATACCTTTGAGAGAAGGCAAAGGGTTGCTTGGCTTAGGAGAAGGGAGGCAGATACAGGATCTATTAGCTTGCACGTATGTCAGGAAGTGAAGAGAATCCATTTGTGCTTTGATAGCATCTTAGGAGGGAAGTAGTAAAAAATGGCTACTGGTAATCTTAGAAGATAGATGATAAGGTAGGGAGATGTTACAATAGCATTCTAGGCAGATTAGCACAAGCATACAATTAACAAGCTTGAAAATAAAACTTGATCAGCTAACAGGATTTGATTTTCTGATTCTGTCTAATAGCAAGGGCTGACTGTAGTGATTAATGAGGGTTTGTGTCTTAAAACAGCATGTTAGAACTGGAGTGTTTTGGTGTTATGTCGTTTCCTTCAGGAGCAAAGAAGCAGACTGCATTGGGAACGTGTTCTCGGGTCTTTGCATTGATGTGGCTTGTTACATCCTTAATTATGAAGAGTTAAATTGCAGGTTAAAAGGTTCTTATCTAGCAACCGTATGTTTTCCTAATGCTTTGCTTGCATTCTATTAGACATCTGGTTCATATGATAGAACAAGCCCAGAAAGAGCTTCAGAAGTTGAGGTGAGTCATTCTCTTATTGTCACACTAAAGTTGGAGGGGAACCCCTCTCCTCCCTCCCCCCAAGCTATACAAAGTGTCATGTACATTCAGTTGCCATGGTCATAGGAAAAAAGACCCAGTAATACCAATAATTAAGAAATCTGACCCTGCCCTCCCCAAGTGGTTACATTGACAAGACCTATTCCACTCAAACTCTGTGTAGGTTTTGTTTTCATTTTGTTTTGTCTGAACCTCTGCTTTGAACAGAATGGATTGTGGTGGAATCCTCTCTGAAAGGCCCTTATGTTTTCTTTTCGCTGCTGCTAGATTTTAATTTGGTGTGTAGTTGTGTCTGGCAAGACAGTTCCCTAGTGTTGGGTTTGGCCTATTGTTTTGAAGTGGATGCTTTAATGAATTTAGAGAGATGGATTACTGGGGGATTGAGGTTATCATATGTTGAAATGGTTCATATTCATAATTCATTCTGTTTATACAGTCCATGCTATGGATTTGGCAAGTAAAGCTTTTCAGATTTAGGTGAACTACTGCCATTTTCAGCCAGAAGATGGGACTGTGTACTGGGACGTGGGTAGAAGGCAAGTTGCACAGTGAATCATATTTTTTTATCGGTACCTATGTGTTTAGATTAATGCACAGAATCAGTGTTGGAAAGGGTAGAAGCAGAACTGAAGTTGGGAAGGCTGCAGGAACACCATGATGGAAGGAGACTACAAGTGTTAGCAGTGTGAACTAAGGACTATTTAGAGACCAAAGTTATTTTAAGTATTCTGCGCTTCTCAGATGCTTCATTGAAATACTGAATTTTGCACTGAATTAGCAGTTTGTCTTTGCTTTTCTGACTTTTTTTTTTTTTCAGAGAACAGAAACAATTCTATGTTCTGCATTTGGCCAGATGCAGTAGACTTGAAAGTTTTGCTTGTAGTGGAGTGAAGGTTTCTTGTTTTGGATTTGTCCATCTCAGGGTTCTGCATGCATCCCTGTACTGGGATTTGTCCATCTGTTAGTTCCAGTCCTGGCTACACACGTGGTTTCTGGTAGTACTTCTAGGGATTAGGTGTATTTTGAAATCAGCAGCAGATGCTACAAATTCTAAAGAAAGGAGACAAAAAAAACCCTTACGTAGCTCTTTCTCTCCCCAGGAAAAATATTCAAGATCTCAACTGGCAGCGAAAGAACATGCAGCTCACAGCAGGGGCTAAGCTCCGAGAAATGGAATCTACGTGAGTATCTAGACTTTTCTGTTAAATCTTCCATAAGTGCATCTTTTCCTTGAATTCTTCTATGCAGAGCATCAGCCATCTTTCAGTGCTGTTGTAGAATGTTATCACATGAATACTATTGCTTTGACAAAGTGCTTTAAAGCATTTGTAATTCAGGTCTACATACTAGTGATCATGGTTGAGTGAATCGATGAGTGAGAGGTATGGAAAGGAGGCATAAGACAGGCTGCTTGAAATTGCCTGTCTAAATTGTTTCTTAAACTCTTTATCTAAATATTGGAAGTGAGCGCAGTTTAATTTTGTATGTTAAGGTTTAACACGGTTAAGAACAACTCTTTATCACGTTAGTTGTTCAAATTACCATTGATATTAACTCAGGTTTGTGAAGTACTGAGAAAAATATTGCTTCATTTGTCGCCATTGTGCTTTCTTTGGAGCCATAATTGTCTTAGATTTTAAAACATATATTTTTAATTAACATTTTAATTGTTAAACATTTTATTGTTAAATAAAACTTGAAGGCTTTTTTATTTTTTTTCCCTTCCAGATGGGTCTCTCTTGTCAGTAAAAATTATGAGATTGAACGAACTATTGTGCAGCTAGAAAATGAAATATCCCAAATCAAACAGCAGCATGGGGAAGCAAACAAGGAGAATATCCAGCAAGACTTCCAGTGACTTAATCTGTCTTAATTCACTGCAGCATATATTAAAAAACACGAAAGAAAACACTTCGGAGATGCTGTGTGTTTGTAGACACTTCTAGTTGCAGTTGTGCAAGGTGATGAAAAGGTGTTTTAATGGTTTCTTGTTTTAAATTCTAGGAGGAAGCAGGGTAGACTCAAAATGTCCTGTTCAGTTGTATTGCAGGCATAGTTAAATGTACTGTGAATTGTTTCACTTTTTCTATACCTAAAGTTAGGAGCTCTTAAAAAAATCTGTTTCATGTTTTCCATTTTCCCCCGTGCCTTTAATAAACACTGTTTGCTGTTTGTACAGCTTCTGCTTTGTGTTCAGAATGACCTAAGTGCTGGCAATGATGTGGGCTTTGCCAGGTGGACCCACCTGGCGGCACTGGGTGTGGGCGCAGAGTGGAGTTTGGTGTGGGAGGCCAGCTC